TTATTGAACAAACTTTCTTTGTTCCAATGCATATTCTTAGCTCCTTTGTCAAAGATTAGTTGACCATAAATCTGTGGGTTAATTTCTGGATTTTCTATTTGATTCTATTGGTCTGTGTGTCTGTTCTTGTTCCAATACCATGCAGTTTTGATGATTATGGCTTTGTAGTATAGTTTGAAGTCTGGGAGTGTGATGCCTCCATTCCCTTCTATTTTTTTTTTTTTCAGGAGAGCTTTGGCTATTTGTGGTTTTTGGTGATTCCATATGAATTTCATCAATAATTGCTCTATTTCTTTGAAGAATGACATTGAAATTTTTCCAGTCAAAAAATGGGCAGAAGAGCTAAAAAGAAACTTCTCTAAAGAGAAAATGCAAATGGCCAACAGGCATATGAAAAAATGTTCAACATCTCTTGTAATCAGGGAAATGCAAATCAAAACTACAATGAGATACCATCTTACACCAGTGAGAATAGCACATATTAAAAAACTAGCAACAACAAATGTTGGTGAGGTTGTGGAGAAAAAGGAACTCTCCTGCACTGCTGGTGGGAGTGCAAACTAGCCTAACCATTATGGATAGCTGTGTGGAGATTTCTTGACCTACTAAACATAGAGCTTCCCATATGATCCACCAGGACACAGAAACATCAATTCCAAAGAGCACCTGCACCCCTATGTTTATAGCAGCACTATTTACAATAGCTAAGCTTTGGAAACAACCCAAATGCCCAAAAATAGATAACTGAATCAAGAAGATGTGGTACATATACACCATGGAATATTACTCAGCATTCAAAAAAGATAAACACATGCAATTTGCAGCAACATGGATGGTGCTGGAAGGGATCATGCTCAGTGAATTAAGCCAGAAAGAAGAAAAATACCAGATGGTCTCACTCATAGCAGGAATCTAGAAAACTTAAATAAGGGACCAGGAAAAAGAATAACTATAAGAAAGTAAAAATCAAAATCAACAAACAACTATGAACCAGAGACACTCTATGGGGGTGGGGGGCGGGGAAAGGAGTGGTTGGAGTCAAAATAAGGGGGTTGTAATTGTATGGGGAATATAAAAATAAAATTTAAATAAAAAAAAACTTTTTAAAAACATGTTTACTAAAAGACATTGGCAACAAGGCAGAAAGATAACCCATGGAACAGGGGTAAATATTCGTATATTTTACCTCTGACAAGAAACTATAACTCAGAATGTATGGACAAGTCCTAAAATTTAACCACCAAAATAAATAAATAAATAAATAAAAGTGGACAAAGGACTTGAAGAGACATTTTTCCAAAGATGATAAATGAATGACCAATAAGCACATGATTCCATACTTGATAACACTAATCATTAGGGAAACACAGATCAAAATTATAGTAAATCATTCTCATATATATTTAGAATGGTTACTATCCAAAAACTAGAAACTAAAAAATGTAGAATTACCATTATAGTATTTTTATGTTTTTGAGAAATTGTACAGTTTCCACAGTAGCTTTACCATCTTACCTTTTCTTTTTTTTTTTTAAAGATTTATTTATTTATTTATACAAGCACTGGGTACAGTCAGAGAAGCGCGGGAGGGTGTGAGAATTCACCAGAGCCAGGGCAGGGAGCAGAGCAGGCAGAAGGACCCAAGTACACTGCTGAGGGGAGCAGTGGACGGCAGGAGAGATCTGCCCGCCATGTGGGACCCTCCTCTGGTGGCCGGGGAGCAGCCGGGGATCGAACTGGCACTGCAGAGGCTGCGGGCAGCTTCGCAACCCAGTGCTCAACTGCTGAGCCACTGGGGAGGCCCTCATCTTACATTTTCAATGACAGAGGACAGAAGCTGCAATTTCTCCCTGTCCTGCCAAAACTGTAAGAGTCTTGAAGAAACACTGGTACACTGTGTGGAGTGCGGCACTGCTCACATAAGCTAAAACATGGAAGCAACACAAGCATCTACTGGCAGAGAGATAAGCAAAATGTGGATAATTCTGAGCAGAATTATCCAACTTGAAAAGGAAAATCTGACACAGGCTACAACAGAGATGAGCCTTAAGGACATTATGCTAAATGAAACAAGTCAGTCGCAAACAGACAAGTACTTTATGATTCTACATGTATGAGAGATTTAGATTATTCAAAACCAGAAACAAAAAATAAAATTGTGGTGGCCAGGGCCTGGGGTATTCTGGAGGTTAGTGTTGAATGGACAGACTTTCAGTTGCACAGGATCAAAAGACTTCTAAACAATGGTAATGGTGGTGCAGCATGTGAACTACTTGATGTTCAATATACCACTGACTCAGCTTTTAAAAATAGTTCAGATGGTAAATTTTATATGTATTCTGCCACAATAAAAAAAAAACATTAAAAAAATGTGAAAGCTGTATGGTCTCTGATAAGTAAAGGCAAAGAAAAGAATATAGAAATGATTACTAAGATGAATAAATAAGCATTAACACAAAAATGAAGTGTCAAGAAGACAAACATAAATGAGCTATAAAAGTTAAAAGTATAGTGCCTGTTTTTATATATGTGTGTGTGTGCGTGTGTCTGTATGCATGTGTGTATGTCGGTTAAATTCAGAGCTAGCAGTTTAGGGCAAATTGGAAAGTCATTCACTAGGAGAGCATACAGAAAAGGGACTTATTTAATACCTGCTTTGCTTCTGTCTCCCTTATCAAAGGGAATGACTATCATTTTGAAAGCATGAAACAAATATTAATAGGAAAGAGCTACATCACATAAAAAAGCATATTAGGAGAGAGTCTAATTACTTTATTTGAATTCAATCCTCCTGCACTCTGGAAATTATATCCAAGGATTAAAACACCAACTCCCAGTCTTAAAAAAAAGAATCCCGGTAACATCGCTTAACAGCTACACTAGCCTGTGGGGCAGTGAAAAAGCCAGAGTTATAATCCCATGGTTCCCAAACTATGTAAAAGGACACTATGAAAAATTCTGATTTTTAAGGAAAAGGCATTCTTGACATCTGTTGGACACAATGAAAAATACTAGCCTGAGGTAGTATACAGTTTCAACAATAGATAGCACTCCATTCCTTTCAACAGCATCATATCTGGGGGAAGCTGGCTACTCTGGCCATTGTTAGCAGAAAAGGCAAGGGCCATGTGAACAGCACGTGGAGTGGAGAAGCAAGCTGGCTCATTCCAGTCAGCACTTCCTGGAACGCCTGCACGCCCTCCAGTAGTCAGAGTACCCATCACTCATGTGGACTATGCTTAAGCTCCCCTGAAGGCAGGCATCTTGTCTAATTTCTTTTCATGAATTAACTGCTGATTCTAACTTTTCACTGTTCTATAAATGTGATTAGCAAAAACCTAAAAGTAGCAGCAGCAGCAACAACCACAAACAATATTTGAGGGAAGGTGTTCGGTAGTAAGGCCTACAATTGCAGGAGGCAGCGAATGAGAAGGAATATACTCAGGGATGATCATTAGGAATATGAAAGGTTTATTTTTTTAATTATTGAGAATCAAAAACATTTGGAAAGACCAAGACTGTGAGCCCAGAGGAGGAAAGACAACATAGAAGTGTCTATCATGATGAAGAAATGAACACAAGGCTTCTCAGTGACCAGACTGCCTCACTTTGCCTGAGGTCTAATTCCTAGACTGTACCTCACGTGCAAGGAAAGGTAGCAAAAATAGTAGAACAGATGCCAATATTTTCACACAAAATCAGTGTTAGTTCCTAAAAAAAAAAAATCACTCAGATTCAGTATGCTGTATATGAGCCTATGACAATTCTATCATAAATAATGAACTGTAACTGACAGGTAAAGGAAGATGCTGGAATTCACAAGATAGAGAATCAATTCTGTAGTTAACCAATGATAATAGCTATAAGTTAAATTCTCAAAGATTTGTGCTTAAGCTGTATTTATACAGGAGGCAATTATGATAGTCCTTTCCCAAAAGAAGCATAAATACTTATAGCTTTACTTACACTAAAAATCCAGAGGGACTGATGGAAACACCATACTGAAAGTGAATTACACAGGCAAAGAATCTGAATTTATCTTGTTACTCAGTAGCCACACCTCCAAGTCTTGGACAGTTGCTATGAAAGCCAATAGTCCACTCTCTCTCTCCTTTTACTCTAAACAGCACAATTGTAGGTATGCTGGTGTAGGTTGATTTATTCTGATTCATGACATTTCCTATCACTGTCTCTCTCGATAGTCTTAGAACACACTAAGGAGGTCATGAACCTCACAATGTGTTGTAGAGAACTCCTTACCATGTTTTCAGCTGGTATTTCTTAGGATTTCTACAGTCATTGATGCTATATGATATTGGAGTAAATATAAAGAAATCACCAATGGAATCTGAAATTTCAAGGACTACAGGTGACTTAAAGAAGTCAATTTAAGGCACTAAAGAGAATGGTGAAAAGATGCCAAAAGATACTCTCTCGTTTCCAGGAAAGAAACAGAGATGTAAGAAGATGTTTGAATAACTAATTCAACTTAAAGAAAAAAAAAAGGAATTATCAAATATAGGAGTAAGTAATATGCTTTGTTAAAATAATAATAATATCAATATACAATGAATAGTAGCATGGTAACCCATAAAACTGGGGTTGAAAGGACATAAAGCTCATTGTAAGTAAGAATCTGTCATTTATTACAGAGAGTTGTCAGGGAATGTTCTTATGTGGCAGGGCAACCAATCATTTATGCTGAAATTTCAAGGAAAGCCCCCTGTCCTGAGGAAAACTGCACCATGCTCACCTTTCTAGTTGTTCTATTCCACCCAGCTTTTGCAAATTTCCTACTACCAGCATTATCACAATATTTTCCTTTATCTAATCAAGGGAAAAGAACACAAGCTTTATTTAGCATACATATTTTTCATCTTACACCTGTATTTTCCACACTGTACCTAAGTCTGATGGGTCCTTAATGGAGCTGGGAGATAAGGAAACCCCTCTCCATGCTGATGTCACTCATACCCCAGCATAGGGACAGGGTCACTTACTTTTGCTGCAGCCCCTTAGATGGTTGGCATCCAAATGGCTTGCACTGGAAACACAAGTATTGCATTTTGTGCCAGTGACAAATCGTTTACAGAAACACTGGTCCATGACCACGTGACAGGTTTCATTCAAGGCTCCTGAGAGATGACATGTACAAGACTGACATCTGAAAACAAGACAAATAAACCATCAGAGAGAATAGTGTATTGATTAATAATTCATAGTATATTTACCTCTACCATCAGCATTGTGGAATGAGAGGGTCTGCTTTAGCCAATATATTGATAATGATTTTTGAGCTAAATAAACACCTGGGGGAAAAAAAACTATAATCATCGGTCACTAAAAAAGACAAATTTTAAAAAACACACATGAAATAGAACAAAACATAAAAAAAAAATCCTTCTCAAAGCCTCTTTTCTGCTCAGCATTTTGGCAGACAGAATACTGAATTTGCATCTGTCTGAGTGATAACTTCCAAAAGTCAGAGGAAGTAAATGTGAACTGGATATCAAGTGATGAAAGAGATAATTTGGAGCAAAAGGGGTAAACATTGAATAACAATGAGGAGAGAAAGCTCACAAAACCCATCCTAAGTAAACTGAACTCAAAGCAAGTTTTGCAAATTTCTCACCAAAAAAAAAAAAATAATAAACAAATCTAAAAAAAAAAGAAAAAATCCTTCTCAAAATGCTGCTCACAATTATACCTACATGAAATATTCTCTTTGTAAACTAAAGAATGGCCAAAACAGGGTTACATTTTTTTTTAAATAGAATACAACACATTTTATGGATTATTTTGAATACCAGGGGTTCACTTAAGAGTACTACAAACTTTGCATCCTCACAGAAACCAGTTCTCCTGACAGCAAGAAATTTATAGTAGGTACCCATAAAAATATCTTTTCAAATATCTATGAAGTTGAGAAAGAGAAGTCTGGATGAGATAATCATTGCTCTCCAAAATCCTAGATTTAGTTTCATAAAGGCTAAATTTCACAAAGAAAACAGTTTGAAAAAGACATGTTCAAATACTGCCAATGTTTTAACATTCTATTTTATGTACTAACCTAATTCATACAGAGTGTTTCCAAAATAGAACATTATTCTGACTTCAATTAGAGATACTAATAATTTAAATTTAAAAAGATAACTTCACTACAACTCAAATTTTGTATACCCAACATTGTTTTTAAAGTCAGTCTTGGCATTTTACTAATAGAAACCCTTGCCTATTTTCTCAGAGTGAATTATTCAAACACTTAGCTCATGCCAGTGTCAGAGCTTAAGATAAATTATTTTAGCACTAAAAAGAATCAAGGAAGTAAAAACCAGCACCTGTAGGAAGACCGCTCACCTTTCAACAGGCCCTTTCCATGTGGCACATTTCAAACAACATTCAATGTGTCCACCCATATTTTCTAATACAGATGCTGATGGAGAGAGTGACTCCACGACTCCTGCTACTTCTGCAGTGCGATCTCTGGGGTAATCACTCCACACCCTTAAAAGGCTTGATAAAAGCAAAAACTGCTAAATAAGCTGCAAATTTGTTTTATGGGCTAATATCACCTCGGGAATAAAATACAGTTTTTCTGGAAAACCACTATACTGTAGTTTGCCCTTTTTATGTCAGGATAAAAGGACATTTTCTCCCTACAGGCAACTATATCAGGTTCTTTATGGACAGACATTGCATCAGAACGCCATTCCACATAGATGTTTTGTTTAGTCAACTTAAGTATGAGAACTGAAGACAATTCTGCACTGAAATTAAAAGAGAATTACAGAAGCAAGAAAATATTTGATTTGCTCTTAATTTCATTATATGCTACTAGAGTATATTGTTTGTAGGCTGTTAATGTCATATTAGTAAACATAAACAATAAGAGACAAATTTCTCCCACTGTGTATCTATATCTCACCACATCACTCAAGAAAAAGCATCTCTTGAGTATTTTAGTTTTCATTACCACTCACTCATGAGACTATCGCACTTATTTTACATGCAGTACATTTAGAATAATCGTTTCCAGTGTATGACATAATTTCTTCCCTTAATGTAGCTCTATTTTCTTCCAGCTAACTGCTACATGCTTAACTCCAAGTCAGTTCTGTCAATATCCACGGGATATTAAGTTACGAATCTAAATGGAATAAATAAATTGCTTCTTAGGAAAGCATACAACGTTTTGAGTAATTAAATGTGACTACTTATGATCTTATTGTCTCTATCCCAGCCTCTGTTACATCCAACTTATCTGACTTGTTATAATTGCTGGGATTCAGTGAGAGAGAATTTTACCCGAATGAAGTATATATAGGAGACTTTTTGAATATTCCAGTTTGTTTATAACTCAAGGGACTCTGGGGATAATTTTGCAATTAAGGTTTAAGTAAAATGATTCCTGTAAATTTCTCAGCCACTCAAATATAATTTTAAACATTTCCAAGACTCTTTAGCAAATAAGCTACAAGTCTGATGTCGTTTTATAAGTGATCCCTGCTCAAGAGCACCTCCCAAATGAAATATATCTCACGTTTATTAAAACAAAATTATACATAATAAAGAAAAAGACATTTTAAGTTTTGAAAGAGAAACACCAAACTAAGATGAATTGTGATATTGATTTTGTCAGGATAAATGGTTTTTGTAATATTAATATAAAGAAACCTTTATTACACTGACTCTCCTGGTACAGCCAGAGCTGCTCCCGCAATCTGTTTAAAATCTTCATTTTTCATCCTTATGGGAAAACCTCACTTTCTAAATGGATTTCATAAAGAGTAATCTGTCAAGATTTATACAGATAAACAATTTGTGATGTTTATTGACCAGTTCATTATAGTAAACAAAACAGGAGGAAGGCGCCGCTCCTCTCTGCCACTATAGTTCCGTTTGGATGTTTCTGTAACTTAGTGTTTACTGGATACAATGAGAAAGGAGTTAATTGGCCTCTGTCTCTTAAATCACAAATCTCATACATTTTCCTTCCTAGGGAGTTTCTTCTGCTCGTGCAAACAGTAAGAGAAAGCATTTTCCTACTTATTAGTATTGCAGAAATATCGCTATTAATGAAAAGCACGTATTTCAAGAATCCATTTCATTGTCAGAAACTTCACCATGTGTGGGTGAACTATGATAGGTGGGCTGGGGTGAGCCCCAGGATACAGGCAACCACAGAGGCATTTCTATTTGGTCATCTCTTTTTTGTCTTCGACTTCAATTCATGGGTGCTATCAAACTTATTTAATTAACTGACATATATTACACTCCTTGAAGGCAAATTATATTCTAATTCTGGAATAAACAATGAACATAAAGGTGAATAAGGTAGAGTTGCCCCTGTCCTCAAGCTACTCACAGTCTGGTGCAAAATAAGAAATGGAAAGAACATTAATAGAGACAGATGCAGACCCTTTGCGGAAACAGATTAGGAGGACATTAGAGAGAAAAGTCACAACAGGATAGGGTGTGAAATTATAAGCAATTTAGATTTTTAGATATAATTGGAAATGGGTGATAAAGCTAGAAAGACAAACAGATGGGAAAATTGGAAAGTCACATGCAGAAAAAATGAATCTAGACCACTCTTTCAGGCCATACACAAACATTAACTCAAAATGGATGCAAGACTTACATGTAAAACCAGAGACCATAAAATACATAGAAAAAAAAAAAACACAGGCAAAGCGCTCCATGACATTGGTTTCAGGGATGTCTTGAGGGATACCTTTTATAAATAAAATAAATAGGAGGGGTAGACAAATTAAAGGCAAGAAGGACATGAGTCACTTCCAGTTTTCAAATTTGCTGACAGATGGGTAATGAAGACACCATTCAAGTTTAAAGTCAAAGGAGGAAGGGACCTTAAATTGATTTTAGACAAAGAATATTTATGACTATTAATGAACAGAAGGAAAAGAGATTTCAAATCAAATTAGAGAAATTGAAAAACAAGTTCTCTTACATGGGTTGCTAAAGAAAAAAAACAGCACACAGAAAACATTCAAAAAATTGTTGAATAAATGAATGCATGACTTAGAACACCACAGATAAATATCACCTTTATCTCCTATGACCATTGTGCTCTTTTGAGAACTTTGTATTTGGCCAAGCCATCTCCCTGGCTACACTCCTTCCCCCATGGACAGTATCCTGTTCTTCATGGCTGGTCATCTATTCTGACTCCCTCCAGACTGAAGAGTTCTCAGTTGATCCATTGGTGCAAGTTTCCAGGAGCCCTTGAGTCCCTTTCAGAGGAGCTGTTCTTTCCTGGCGAAGATCACACTTCATCTCTGCAGTGGAAGTGTGGTCTCCTCGAGGGTCTTAGTTTTCTTCACAGCCTACTAACAGCACTGATTTCCATGCAAGTGGAATTAGAATGATAGGAGAGAGATTTGGGCCTTGGAGATACTCTTTGCATGAGCTGAAGGCCAGTCTCACAGGGCTTCTTAGAGAGGAAGGGAGGGTGGCGTTGTCTCATCTTGAAGGGAGGGATTAACGATGTCCAGGGCATATTCTCTGGTGAAGCTTCCCAGCATGAATCAAGGATTTATAAGAACTGGACCGGGCAGTCACTCCAGAACATTTAGGCTATGGTAGCCTCCAAGTTCAGGCAAGTGACATCCCTATCATCTAGAAGAGAGTTTGCTTTGCAAGCTTCCGAGACACTTACCACTCTTACCTAATGACAGAGAGCACAGACTATACCCTACATGTCGTCACTGAGACCAAATATTTAAATAAGTAAGAATCTAGGATATTCCCTATGCAAACGATACCACCCACGTTCAGATCCAGAGGAAGAAGCCCTGTATCACTTTCCTAATTTCCTCTTTAGAGTAATACAATAAATTTGATGTATGAGAACAGATTCATATTCTTAAAGACATTCAGGTAGAAGAGAAATGACATTCAGTCTCTCTGGCTCCAGAAGGTAGAAATGAAACAAGGCAAGAACATCACAGGAACGACAGTTCTGCTCAATGTGAAGAACAGGTCTCAGTTTTTCTCAGAGTTAATGTGTAAAACAAGCACAAGTTACATCTCGAGACAGTAAGTCCTTTTTTAGTTGATGTTTTAAAGCAGGGACTGAATCGCCGATTATTTTGAAAAAGGTGATTTCTACAGAGAAATGTATAGCATTTATCCAAAGTTGTA